TAAAGGCCCAGATACACCGGCCAGTCACCTGAGAAGTCGCCGACGCCGACACCGTCGCCGGACTCTCGTGCGTATTTGCCGACTTCGCGCACTGGAACACACTGCAAATCCGAGCCGAGCACGTATGAACTGCGTATGCGTGAGTGGCAATAACTCTCCTTACCAGCAGGCGGCGGTAGTGTGTATTCATCATTCAAAAGAGGCAACAACCGGAAGACAGAGAAGAAGAACAGACTCCGTGATATAAACAAACAACAAATAGCGTTTTTCTTTCCATTTTCACTCTCGTCCATTGAAAACCTGAACGAACAGGAGCTCTATAAACCGATGAGGTGAAATAGCCGTCCGTGTGTGTTCCATCTTCCATTTTAAATCATTTGTTTACCTCCCTTACTTCCGTTAACGCTTCTCATGCACTGATTCGCTAGCTGAACAGCCAATCAGTGTTATCCCTTTGTCCGACTTCCGGTGGTGTTCCCGACAAGAAAAGACCCGACGGTGCGGCGCACACCACTCCGAATAGGGCGTGCCCACGCTCATGTTCGGCCCGACTCCCATTTACTGCCGATTTCGGGCCGGTGTATCTGGGCCTTAAAGTGTCCAAGCTGGGCTTTTCTGTATAAGCGCATTTTTAAAACATAGTCATTGTCCATGCCGGTTTCAGTTGGATTATTTGTCACAGTTGCTCCGATCAGATCGGTCTCCTCCATTTTGTAGATTATTTACGACTTTTAAATTCACATAAACACATCGGCAAAAAAAAAAAAAAAAGTTTTAAACAGTTTAATCCCTTTGTGAATTGTTTCCACTTCCGCGCCGTCCTTTAATTTCTTCATACAGCGGGAAATGAATTAATCCTGAGTCCAATAACCATCAAAGTCACTCCAATAGTGCTCCTTAATTATGCTTTCATCGTCCTTTAACAAAATACTTCACATTCATCTAGTTTGTGACAGTAGTTGTAGCATTTTTGAGACTTTTAAACTTATTACCGCTGTTGCGCCCCCCCCCCCCTCATTCGATTGATGATTGAAAAGTTTCTAATTACAGCTTGTATCTCTCTCAACAACAACAACGGAGGAGGGAGAAAAGAGAGAGATACAAGCCTGTTAATAAACCTCTTTCAATCTATCAATCAATGAAGAGAGGGGGGGGGGGGCGCAACAGCGGTAATAAGTTTAAAAGTCTCAAAAATGCTACAACTACTGTCACAAACTAGATGAATGTGAAGTATTTTGTTAAAGGACGATGAAAGCATAATTAAGGAGCACTATTGGAGTGACTTTGATGGTTATTGGACTCAGGATTAATTCATTTCCCGCTGTATGAAGAAATTAAAGGACGGCGCGGAAGTGGAAACAATTCACAAAGGGATTAAACTGTTTAAAACTTTTTTTTTTTTTTTTATGTGTTTATGTGAATTTAAAAGTCGTAAATAATCTACAAAATGGAGGAGACCGATCTGATCGGAGCAACTGTGACAAATAATCCAACTGAAACCGGCATGGACAATGACTATGTTTTAAAAATGCGCTTATACAGAAAAGCCCAGCTTGGACACTTTAAGGCCCAGATACACCGGCCCGAAATCGGCAGTAAATGGGAGTCGGGCCGAACATGAGCGTGGGCACGCCCTATTCGGAGTGGTGTGCGCCGCACCGTCGGGTCTTTTCTTGTCGGGAACACCACCGGAAGTCGGACAAAGGGATAACACTGATTGGCTGTTCAGCTAGCGAATCAGTGCATGAGAAGCGTTAACGGAAGTAAGGGAGGTAAACAAATGATTTAAAATGGAAGATGGAACACACACGGACGGCTATTTCACCTCATCGGTTTATAGAGCTCCTGTTCGTTCAGGTTTTCAATGGACGAGAGTGAAAATGGAAAGAAAAACGCTATTTGTTGTTTGTTTATATCACGGAGTCTGTTCTTCTTCTCTGTCTTCCGGTTGTTGCCTCTTTTGAATGATGAATACACACTACCGCCGCCTGCTGGTAAGGAGAGTTATTGCCACTCACGCATACGCAGTTCATACGTGCTCGGCTCGGATTTGCAGTGTGTTCCAGTGCGCGAAGTCGGCAAATACGCACGAGAGTCCGGCGACGGTGTCGGCGTCGGCGACTTCTCAGGTGACTGGCCGGTGTATCTGGGCCTTTACGGGCAGAAGAAAAAATTCTATTAAAGAAAGAATTATACATTTCTGTCTTTTTATGCCTTTAATAGCTACTAACTTGAATTGTTATTCTTGAACCTGTACACATTTGGGAACCACTGCTCTATAGGTACAAGTGAATGTGCCGTTTTGATTGCAAATGTATTTCTGCAAATACAGTGAAAATAATTTGAAGCTGTTCACTCTCAACACCTTTAGTTTGTAATGCAAATGATTATGTTAAATGTAGGTACAACTGTTGAGTCAACAGCATGGTCAACAGTCACTTACTTCCCTGATTTTAAAGTGGACCTATCATGCTATATTTTAATAATATATTGTAGGGCCATACCTATACAAAACATGTCTGTGAAGTTTGTTTTTCAAAATACCAAACAGATCATGCATTTTAGCCATGCCTCATTTCGCTCCATTCGCTCTATTCCAGCCCTGTCTTCACAAGGGCTGATTCTGTGGCAAATGAGCTGCAGCTGACCACGCCCCCCTGCAAAGGAGGGGGGCGAGGCACGAGCGTCATGTTACCATGCTGTTACCATGCCACGCAACCTCTCATTCCCCTGATAGGTGGAGATTTGCCCATATAGGCGGAGCACCCCGTTTCTGACGTCAGAACAATTTAAAATCTGTATCAGATCCATTGCAGCCCCGTTTTTAGAGATTTGGGTATGGAGGAAAAGAGAGAGGATTGTGTTTTCTGACACTTAGTGAGTTCCCTGACACACCGGGGACACATTCATGTATAAAAGACGTACAAAAGTGCATTTTGCATGATAGGTCCCCTTTAAGTTAAAACAAAAACAATGTTAAATGTTTTCTTGTTCAGTCAGTCTTTGTTTTTTCCCTTTGTTTTATCTCATCCCTTTTTGTTTATTTATTTTCAAAAACAGAGTAAAGTGAGTAAAGAAACATCCAGAACACATATTGCTCATCCAGTTTTAGTTTAATTCCTTTGTGGAAAAGAATATCTTCACTTCAGTACATACACATTGCACAAGGCAGGGAGCCATTATTTTTATTTGTCTTTTTTTTTCATTTTAACCCTTTATTTTTTCCAAACCGGAGTTAAAAGCAGCAGCAGAATTGACGCAATAACCAGCACTAGGCTTCCCAAAATGTTCATACCCAGATCCACATCACAGAGAATCCAGCATCCGGACTGTATAACACTTTTTCAAAATACCACATTTTCCCTACAATTCCCAATCGAAGTAACAATGACATAATAAGCATGATTATCTTTAATCAAAGTCTGAGCTTGAATAAAACCAAGAACATGTTAATAAAGTTACAATACATGTACAGAAATACTATCTGATTGGTGGGTTACCACATGTACAAAGGATGACAACACTTCTATACAACCAATAATAAACATCTACACGTATGTTATTTAACGCTATTCGTCATTCAAAGTGGTTTGTCACGGTGCATCTTCTGTCTACGTTGGGATTTGCAAAAGAAGTGCCGGGTCATGTTTGGGAAGCCAAGAACTGCTGAAACAACTTAATCAACAGAAAGATTGCTGGTGTAGAATATATCATATTAATATTATTTACAAAATCTCTGTACAATCAAATACACAAGGTTGAAAATGTCTGTCCTGCTAGTCAAGCATTCCAGAAGACAGTTTTAAAGGTGGGATGTATTCACGCAACAGGGTGTAAACCGGATTAGGCCCTTTGAGAAAAGGTTAAGCAAACTATCACACAAGCCTAAGGTCAGAAGGTCACAAGGAACATTATGCCACGGTTTATAGTATGCAACATGAGGTTTGACAGGATGTTTACAGTTTGATTTATATCGTAAACAAACACTGTTCAAGATAAAAGTGAACCCGGGTCATTCATCCAACAGAGATTCACAGTTTAGATGTAAATCCAAAATAGCTGTAGGTGTGTTAACAGAGCTTCTTACAGCATGTGTTACTGTGCCACAGTGCATACATGTTTAGTCACACAGACTATACCAACAAAACATGCATGGTACACTCATTTTGGTGCATAATCCGGCCTAAAACATTCTGTTGCGAGCATTCACCTTGAATAGTGTTAACAAATCAGCAGGACAGAAACTTCAGGAGGAGAAATTATCTTCCGTCAAGATTCAAACAGGATTTTTAACAGGGGAAAACTCACATGGGTTGCATATATATTTTTAAAAAACATTTACAAACAAGTCCAATAGACTGGTTGCTTTAAAGAAGAGGTGAGTTTGTTGAAAGGGAAAAAGAGATCCATGGGTGAGTTACTGCATAGCCTGTTGGTTAGATTTCACTAAGGGTGGCATGACATTTAAAGCCAAAACTCCTACTAGTATCACTGGAAAGTATACTGATGTGGGTTGGATGGTCCCAGCAGGAAATTAACTTCAGACAAAGTTTACTGAGGGGCAAACCCCAGACTCTAAAAATCTTAACTCAGACTATCATCAAAGCAGAGTATCTGAACTCATGACATCCCCATGGCATTACATAAACTCTGGTGTACTGTAGAACTGTTTTAGATTAGTAGAGTTATTTTACAACTAGCATTTATACCACTACTGGGAACATAGCAGTACACTAAAATGCTGTCAAACATGTACAGTAATCTATGGTATGCAGGGACCATGCATCATCTTAAAACGGACATCAAGGACGCAGCCAGATGTTGAACAGCAGATTGTAAAAAGTTCAAACGGACTTCTATGTTTAAATGTTCCTCGTACTTGGGTGTTCAGCTGATGTGAGATAATAGGCCCTGCAGGACAGTGAGAAGGTGTGTTTGAAAAGAAAAAAATCATCAACTCACAGTCATTACTTTTTCTAGTTATGCAAATCAGCACGTTTTAAAAGGCTTCTCAGCCTGATCGCACATGAAAGTGACATTTCTGGAAACAATCACACTGGTTCTTTTGTGCCAACCAAAAAAAATAAAAAATACATGACAATTCTGTACAGTATATTAAAATCACATGGGAAAACACTCACATATTTACTTCGTACTGGCCACAAAAAAAGGCTTAAACCAATTAAAAGGACAAAACAAATTCCGTTAAATGTTCCCAAACCACACATTTGCCCAGAAAAATAATGAAGAAAACCTGGAAAAACATCAAAATGTCCAGTTCTTCTTATTTATGTTACCCAAATATTGTTGTGGCTTTCCAAAGGATTACACTATAATCAAAACCATTGCAGTGGTAGTGGAAGTTAATTCTGCTCTCGTACTAAGAAGACACACTTGGGGTTAGCAGTAGAGTTGTGAATACCAAACACACAGTCTTCTGCTAGAGTACCATGGCATAAAAACAAACCATCTATAAACAAGCATATGAAGCAGGTCTGAAACATGAGCAGAAACATGTTTGCATGCACAGCGGTACAGAAACATTGAGTTAAAGTTCAGCAGGTAAGTAATTGAAGGTAAATCACACAGGGCACATACATGGTGAAACCAGGCGAACACACACTGAAGGCAACTGATAGGGTTTCAGGTGAGAAAGGGGGGGGGTTGCACAAGATAACCAACACCAGACCCAACAGGTTGAGGTCACCATTATAATCCAAACATGAGTTGAAACAAGGCAAATGTAAAAACAAAACAGACCACAAAGCAGCTTTATAACAACAGAAGAAAATGGTGGGACAGTCCCAACAAAAGTCGCTACTATTTAAATAGTAACACTTGCATTAGTGTTGGCATTTCGATTATTGAAATGAATAGGTTGTTAATGAAGGCTGCTGCAATCAAAGTACTCACAGAAAAATACTAATATTGAGCTTTGAGTATATTACTACAGAGCACCCACTCTTTACATTTGTGATTATTTTGTTAGCCAATTAACTATTTGATTAAAAAGGACCCTCATCATTTTTGACTATACAGTTTTCTAATGTTCGTGTATTTTGAGAAGCTGTGGAAAGCTTAAAATAACAAAACTGCTCTATGTCTTCCCTTTCAACAAATATGAAATAGTAAATTAAAATGTGGTGATGCACAGTGCTAGTTTGGATATGGACTGATCAGGACGAACATCCTCCTACATGGTTTGCATATGTGTGAGTTACTCTAATGAAGTTTGTGTTCGAAGAGATATTGGCAGAATTAGTCATCTGTACCTGGGCATGTTCAATCCCCCTGGTTTAAAGGTTGGTTAAAATAGAGGCACATAGTATTGAAATGCTCTAAGAAGAATACAAAGTGATAATCTGGGTTGAAGCTGGGGAATGTTGGCCAACTACTATAACATATATTTCCAAGAGTGTAGTAATAAGTTAACTGTTATTTCTCATCGGTGGCTCTTACAGAACAAATCAATTCATTTAAATACTAAAAATACAGCCTAATTTACAGGAGATGAACCAATTCTGCTTTTTAGTCTCCTATCTAATGTAGAGCTCAGGTGCTAAACCTTTTAAATGCTAAGATTCACATGTTATTTTGATATTAGCCTAATAAAATCACATTAGCAACATCCAAACAAGGCAGCAGGGGAGGCAGTGAAGTTAGAGGGAGAGGAATCAGATCTCCACCCTCCTGAAGTGACACTTGCAGACAGGGACAAGTAAGAGAAAAAGAAAAGGATGATTCCTTACAGTGATAAAAAAGAAAATTCCCATTGGTTATCCCAAATAACAAACACTGGTCGCTGAGGCAGGCTGGGTCCTGAACTGTAGTTGTAGCTCGTCATTAACAGAAATCAACAACGCAGACGCATCTGTAGCGCCATCTGTTGGAAGACAATGTCTCGGTCCCATCATCAAACACTAAACTCAGCAGGTTAGGTACGCATGTGTGGCAATATGGTGTTGTTAATGTTGGTAGGCAGAAGGAGGAGGAATAAACAAAAAAGCAAAGGCCATGTGCAGTGGAGCAACAGAAAAGAAAAACAATTTTTTTCTGCCCCCATCTGGGCTGAAGGTGTAGTACGAATCTCAACAGGATTTGGCTTCAGTGCACTCCTAAGAGGACTGTGGCATTGTGGGAAACGTTTTGTGCAACAACAAAATGCCTCCGGACCTTTAACTGCTGCCATGACTGCTGTCCAGCTGCAGTTTGACGCAGTGGAACCACGAGTTTTGGTCTTTATAGTTTTACAGCGTCAGTAACCGATTAGGCAGCTGAAGGCTGGAGGTGTGGTGTTCGAGTTGAGTTTCTGTGGTCGCAAGGAATTAATTTATACAAGTCCATAAAATGCTCAATGAATCATTCAAGAGTGACTTAATTTCTGTGCAGACATCTTATCTTGAATAATTGTTGCACAAACAGTCTCCCGTGGAGCCACAGCCTCAAGGATGTTATGCTACAGTAGCTATTCACAAAACAAAAAGACAAAAACACACTAAAATACTCTGTGTCTCTGTGCTTCCTGACACAGCACTGATTACAGGAATCAAGGGGGTTACAGGAAACCATAAATTAAAGATTAAAATATTAAAACCTCTATGATAGGGGGACTCTGTTTGGGAAGTTTAGGAGATGAATGTTAGAGGTTTACATTATTTACAAGAGTTAAATTATTAAAATGGCTTTTCTCAGTTTCTGTGTCTCTCGCTCAGTGTTCCTTTAGGGGTCCCTGTGAACAGGACCTTTTTTCAGCAGCAAAAGTTGACAACATCACGGCATCGAGAGTTGATGACATCACAGCATTCAGGGTTGGATGACATCTTCCTGTCGAGGGTTGATGATGTCATGACATCGTCCACTTTATGGGTCCTCGGTTGTCTTGTGCAGCTCCAACAGCGCCCCGACAGCTCCAAAGTAACCCTGGTGCAAACACACGCACACGCACACACACACACACGTTACACAAACTGAATGGGAGTTTTACCGAGAGCCGGAGAAAACTGTTTAACTGCCAAGTCACTAATCGATTGGTCAATAATCGTCATAGTTAATGTAATGCAAACATTTCAAAGAATGCTGTTATCACCCTCTAAAATATGGGAAAATCCTGCTTTTCTCTATTCAATATAAGATTCAATGTATTATCTTTGGACTAACAAAACAAGACATATACAGAAATCACCTTAGATTGTCAGAAAGTGGGGTGGACATTTTCCAATACATTTACAATTATTTCATACCTAATTATTAATCTGGAAAATAATCTGCAGATTTATCAATAATAAATGCACTGTTAAAGCAGCCCTAACACCTGGGATGATACACAAGATAACTATAGACGCCAAGGACACTTTGATTTCCTTCAGGTCTTCCGGTAAAGCTTGCTTAGGTTCCTCCTTTAGTTGATCGGTTCTCACCTCGTGTTCCAGGAAGAGGGCTCTGAGTTGTCCTTTGGACCAGAAGTCCATGGCGTAGGCTAGCAGTTTTGTGGACACCGTGTTGATACGAAGGAAGTTCCCGACAAACACCACACGCTCAATTTTCTAAAACAAAAAATATATTGAAAAGTCAGATTTTTTTTTATCTCGGTTATGTGTGTGAAAGCTATAGGAAATCTATCAGCCCTCACATACATCTTTGTCAATCATTTGAAAACGTAAAATATGTGACACTTACATAGTGACCTGTGTTGCATGTCATTTCCTGTTTCTCTCTCCAACTCACTTATCAACCATTAAAGAAAGGCATCAAATGCGTTGAAAATTATATAAAACTTGACGAGAAAAAGCCTAATCTTGCAACATACAATTAGACTATAATGATTGCCCAAAATAATCCCCCCTGCTCTTTCTGAGACGTCGTGACTGTCAGTCTTTTAAATCTATCCTCGAGCAAATTAATACATTGAAATCCATAACAGTCACAATAAAAGAACTTAAAGTAAGAAAGATATGGACAATGTAAATGCAGTAAAGCTTACAGATTAGTATATTTAGACAAAATGCAACACCTCTTTGTGGCAACATGATGGTGCTGCAGAGCTGGTAAAAACTTTGTGTCTACATTTGATCCCTAAAGCCATTTGATGGGAAACAAAGATATATATTAAAGATAAACAAATACAATAAACCTATTATATACCAAGAGCGGCCCCCAGCCCTATGCCTGGTGTCCCTGTGTGTTCGCTGCAGCTCTGTGTGCAGTGATAGCCCTGTACAATGCTGCTTGATCCCCATGCCACAAGGCAACACTGTAAAGAAGCTCACAGCACACAGACTCACTCCAGGCTGGTGCCTCTCTCCGGAAAATAACTACGGTAGTTTGAGATTGGCTAACAAAACAAAACAAATCCAGCTTTAACAGATGCTACATGTATTTTTCATTGAACCATCTACTCGTGAAATGCAGTGATTAAACTGCTCCACTTTTGGTTGTTTGTTTCTTTGATACATGTACGCTCATTTGACAAAAATAAGCAGCACCCGCAAGCCCAAACATGCTTACAGTTGATTTCCTGAAATTCATTCACTGTTGAGTTTCAAAATATAGGCAGTAAATCTGTGTTTAAAACATTACATCTTTGCTTCTTAAAACCATGCAGTACAGTTAGTAAAACAGTTACAATTTAAGTGCAAATGTGCTCCCCCCCTATGAGTGCATGTGTTATGCGAGTCCTTAGTTCATGCATTCACACACAAACAACCTCACCAACACCTGACCTCAGACACAGAGAGCGGGAACTGTAGTCACCAGAGGGTGTGGAAGATTTTATGGACTGACGGACAGAGCGAACTGTACACCCTTTCAAAGTTTAAAATATTCTGAATGTGTCCCAGTTTATTTCATGACATCATCCGACAGGAAGCAGCTGTGGACCTAAGCTGTTTCAGATGTTCCTTTATCAAAGTTACTCTGTTTCTTTATTCTTTATTAAGTACTACCCGGGGTAGAGATGAATCCCATTCAGAAAATTGTAAGGGTGCACATGTGTTGCAGCATGAGAGTGTGAGTGTGAGTGTGTGTGTGTGTGTGTGTGTGTGTGTGCGTGTACCTCGTTGACTGCACACATCCGTGCAATGGATCCTATGTTGTTCGTGATGGTGACCAGTGTGGCTTTAGCCAGGTNATTCTTTATTAAGTACTACCCGGGGTAGAGATGAATCCCATTCAGAAAATTGTAAGGGTGCACATGTGTTGCAGCATGAGAGTATGAGTGTGAGTGTGAGTGTGAGTGTGTGTGTGTGTGAGTGTGTGTGTGTGTGTGTGTACCTCGTTGACTGCACACATCCGTGCAATGGATCCTATGTTGTTCGTGATGGTGACCAGTGTGGCTTTAGCCAGGTCTTCCTTACTGATGCTGTCTCGCTTCTCTTTGCTCATCATGTGACCAAAACTGCAAAAAAAACAGACCATCAGAAACATTGACATGTACACATTAACACAGACACACTTTCCTCATGAGTGCTACTCAAGTTTGATGAACTTATGACCAGACGCACAGAACATGACCCTCTATTGTGACATTGTCACAATAACCTTCAAAACAGTAACGGCTCCATCACACGGCGGCGTGCGTTGTCGCTTGCCGGCGGGGGGGGCTGAAACTGGACCAACAACCAATCACATGAATCTCCCGCCCCAGACACACAAGCACGCGGTTTGATTGGCTAGAGCTTGCATTGGCATATGATTCGATTGGTTGACGCCTCCATCGAGGCGGCAAAAGTAGAACATTGCTCTACTTTTGCAGCGAGCACCGCGAGAGAAGCTACGCTTTGCTCCCACAATGCAGTTCGGCGAATCGTGACGTCACCCCATTCAAAGTGAATGGGCAGAAGCGTTAACGTACGCCGCCGTGTGTAGGGGCCGTAAGTGTGTGTTTAATTTCAATATAAAAAACATGAAACGGTGATAATAATGTGAAGATTGTGATACAATCTGCTTCTCACTTTGCTTCATGGATCAACCTTTGAACACAGAGCTGCAGGTTTCATTTATATAACCAAACACAGATTAGCAAGCAAAGGTCCAAGTTTGCACGCAAGTAAGAGTGTGTTTATGTGTGTGTGCCAAGTAGGCTATGATTTCATACCGCATTTGCTGTTAGGTGTATTTGTGTTATTACTTTATCCTTTGTGAGACATACATACAGAGCACAACACGGCACTGTGGTTTCACACTCATTTAATTCATGTTTATGTTGTTTGACCAACTTCCTTAATAATTGGAAAAAATAAATGTGTGCATTGAGCAAGTTCAAAGCCTGTTTCATCCACTTTACATAACTAATGCAATTATTTATATCATATAACTTAATTATTTGTATATTTTGTTCCAAGAAGTTCAGTGTAGGTTTTTCCAGATTTTTACTAAGCAATGTATAGAGCACTATTTTTGAGATATACTTCACGGCTGTACCGAAATCAGTGTTTTCCAAATCAAGCAATCAGAGGAGGTCTTGTGTTTGCATGTTGACCCTCAGGAGACCCTGGTCCCTCTCACCTGGAGGCGACAGCAGAGCCCTGCAGGCCGAAGCGCTCGTAGTCTCCTCCGTAGATATCTTTAACCAGTTTGTCCACGTTGGTAGAGTCGCCCTTGCTGGCCATTTCCAAGGCCTCCTCGAACGTCTCGCAGCCCGTCAGCAGGCAGCAGAGGCCCAGGAATGTACCGCCACCCAGACTAAAAGGTGAGAGAGGAAGTGAACAAGCTTAGTTCTAGTAAGGGAACGAGAGGAACATATATGGCAGAGTTGTTTTGAACCGAATAATCCAACTTTTCCCAAAGTTTAAGTAAGTTTAAGATGAATGAACCGTGTTGCCTTGGCTCATTTCATGGGTGAACTACTTTTTCCACATCAATATGATCTCAATATGCATATAATGTCATGCATCATTGTAAAATTAATATATCTGGAAAGTGCATACATTTGCAAGTGTCATAATGAGCTCTGAGAAATAGCATTATTTAATCTTTTGTTATAAATGTATCAGTAGATGAAATGATAAAGAAAATGATTCTTAGGGACATTTATGATAATGTGATGAAATGAGATCTGGGTTGACAGATCTGTAAGAAAAACTAAAACAAGAAAATGTTTTAGTTTGCCTCATGCGATCAAAATATATGATCACATAATCTTAACAATAAATTCTTAGCCTATAAAATCAAGGCGGTTAAATCGGAACTAAAAATAATTGGCCTTAGAATCTTTTCTATTGTAGCGGTGAACATTTGGCTATTTTAAGAAACCACTTTCATTGATTCACCTTTATTTGCATTGGCAATTTAACAAGTATGTGGTAGTTCCAGTTCAGTTAGGCACATATTTAAAGACAATGTGTTCAGTCTTAGGAACTAGGAACGTAGTATACTATTTCTGTCGTCAACATGCTTTCATCATGTCTGGGCGGGACTTCGTTGTTTTCACCAGCTCACTATCTAATCACAATATCGTCGTTCTAGAAGGTGCATAAGGTGACCATAGATAAAGAACAGCTGGAAGTCAAACAACCGATTCTGGCTTATCTTTTTAAGCTGTAAAAGGTATGCAGCCACCTTCACCTTTTGCACATTTTCATTCACGCAAAACAACTCGCTGGTTTAGGGCTCAAGGTGGACTTTAGTAGAACAAAACAAGTTGATTCTTGTTAGTGTTTATGGGCTCAAAGGACAACATTTAGTGTTCAGTCTAAGCTTCCCGTTAACAATGTCGCTGCTTGTGGGTTTGAGCTGGTTTCCTCACCTGGTCCCAGTCACGCGTTTGTAGTCGTTCTCTGAGTAAACGGCCAGGATGGAGACCCCGGAGCCGATGTTGACCAGCAGCATGGGGAAAGGGTTGTCCAGGGTGCAGGTCTTCTTCACGCAGCTCTGGGTGTCCGAGGGGTTCTCAAAGTAGTATCCCTCTGGGTGTCCGTTGAAGCTAACCCTGTCCACGTACAGCAGACCCCGGATCAGGCAGTCCAGCTCGTCCAGCTTCAGCAGCTCCAGGTCGGCCATCTGCAGCACAGAGAGCGGAGGAAGAGAAACCGTTCAGCCATTAACCCAGAATGATTTACAAAGCACTTTAGGTCGGAAGTGTGCATGTTTCTGCTTAGTTTCTCCTGCAGAGCCAAGAGAGTTCATTGATCTAATACTGCACTGCAGAGAGGGTCAATGAACTCAGGTAGACAGGCACTGAGAGGACAGATGTCAAAATGTGCTCACGTCCAAAAATCATAATGCAAGAATGAGCCACTAACCTCAATAAAATGCAAAGTCATTGAGAAACAGACATTTCTGCTCAAATCAGATTAGAACTGGGGGGAATTTTAATTCTGTTGACTGGAAAAAAATTTCGCCTAATTGTGTGGTCAATAGAACGACTAGAAAATGCATGCTGTATTTTCTACAGGGCAAGGTGTGTTTTTTTATTCAACCAGCAGCCCAAGAAATTACATTTGAGAATCCTCCCATTTGAGAAGCTGGTGAATAATTGATTGCCATATTAGACGCATATTCATTTTCTGCATTGTTCCTGTATTTGCAGCAGTAAACATATGCTTGCAATGAGAAATGTTGTTATTTGGAAATGTTTGCTTAAAACTATTCAAGCACGTTCTCTGGCCTCACCGATCTGAATTCATTCTCAAACTTGTAGGCCCCGCCCCCGGTGGCGCAGAGCGTTGTGTGCAGGCTGGAGAAGTTCTTGTCCCGCCCCATCTGGATGAAGCGGGGCATGGCCTGCGTCGGGAAGCGGATGAAGTGCAGGTTCCCCGTCCGGCCGCACATGGTCAGGTTCCTCAGCTCCAGGTGGACGTCACGGACGCCCGTTTTACCTGAGCGAGGGAGGGAATGATTATCAAACTATACGATTCTGTATCAATGCATTCATGTCCATTTAGAAAGTGCAAACACGTGACCAACTTTCCAGTTCCTGTGAGGGTGGGAGGGATTCTGTTTTATATGTAACAAAAGAGGGGTAGTTTTTCCTGTAATAAGAAAACCAAAAAATGTGAAAAAATGTTTATTGTCTGGTAAATCTGCACTCCTTAATAAAGAAATTTAAAAAAGAAAAAAGAAAGTGCAAACACAATCTTCTTAATGCATTGGTTAAAGTTCAACTGAGAACTTTCTATAATCTTTGCTATCTTCATAGTTTCCTTGAAAGCCCTTGCCCTTTCTTAGGTACACAAATGAGTCTAGAGATGCAAGAATGTGGGTGTAACAGCGTATGTGGGTTTAACAACAGGTCTGTGGGTGTGTATGTATGTATGTATGTATGTCTGTATGTCTGTATGTATGTCTGTCTGTATGTATGTCTGTATGTATGTATGTATGTATGTATGTATGTATGTATGTATGTGTGTGTGTGGACTTACCATAGGCCACGTTTGAGGTGAGGTAGCGCCGGATGGACTTGAGGTTTTCTACTTCTTCCTGTTCTTCCTCTGCTGTTATGTCGACTGGCTCAAAGTACACCAACTTCACCAGCGTGCCGCCGATGTCCATACCAAACCAGGGGAAGGCTGGAGAGCAGAATGACAACATAATGTTACTCTTTACTTCAAACAACAAGACATGGTGAAGATCAAAACCAGAGAGCATCTTGACATACAAATTATCAAAGTTGAAACCAAAAAAAAACGTAAGAAATAAAGGATATCCATTTAGAAATAATGAGACATGTCAGTGTTATTCTGTATTTCTGTTATTTTAGCAGTTAAGTGTATGAACTACATTACACTGGAAAACAGGAACTCAATTAATACAACTAATAGAAAATGAACTGCCACTTTAAATAACCGATGAACAATTTTTCAAGTAAAAAAACAGATATTTGCAACTTCTCAATTGTGACGATTTTCTACTTTTTGTTGTTGCATTAGTACAATACTAAATGGTCAAATATATTGGGATATTTGATTAGAAAATGTGTAGACTCTGGGAAATCCTAATGGCAGAGGATATTATTGCCAATTTATATAACAAATATATTATTAATAATAATAATAATAATAATAATAGCAGCCCCAGACTGGAGTCTTTGCTACCAATGAAACCCAGAGATCAACCTGTTACACCAAATATACATTTCTTATTTTAAAAGGGGTCCAGCCTGCATCATTATATGCATCAGTTGTGTAAAAGCAGCTGTATAACCCTCCTGCAGAGGAAGTGAGAAAGGAGTGAAGCGAGGACACAGTCTGGTCTGGTTATTTGGTTTAGGAGAACAGTAAAAAAATAAATCCTCCAGCACAACCGGCAAGAGGGGAAAAAACCCCCACCATAGCTCAACAAGAGCCACAGTCGCCATGGAAACAGACTACCCCCCTCCATCATTTCTTCTCCAGCCTCCTATTTTCTCTTTCATTTAGCTCCATCTCCATTAGCCTATCTTTCTCTATCTGCCATTCCGTCTGTTCCCTTTTCACGACTAAACCTCCCTTCCTGCTCTCTCAGTTTTCTATTTCCTCTTCTCATCCTCGAACGCCACGCTTCCCGGCTTCGCTCTCTTCTTGTCTCTCGATCAATCTAATTCAATCAGAGTACGATTTACTGGAATGGACGGGAGAGAAGTGATACTGCAGGACGTTTTTAATGCTCTGCAAAGCAACTGTTATATTCTAAGACTTTTCAGTGCGCTTTGTGTGAAAGATAATTAAAGCGGAAATGATTTGCAATCTGCATTTTTCAAGCAAAGATATTTCAAACATTTACTAGTACCCGTTTCATATTAGTTAATTGTGTTGATCACCAGATTATATTGCTGCAGCCCTAATTATCACATATCTAAAGACATTTAAGTTGCCAAACAGTAAGAATCTTCCTTGAAATGTAAGTAACAGTTTTTCATTAAAAAAAAAAAAAAAAAATAGAGATAACATTAGTTTTGAAAAAGTTAAAAAACAGACGAAAATCTATAAATACAGAACTCAACAGATATATCTTAGTAAAAATCCTATTTGGTTTAAACTACATTTGAAGAAAATCCTACTTCAAATGTTTTCTCTCTTGGCAGAAAGATATTTTCTATTTCATCCGTGCATATGCTGCCATTTGAAAAAGCCACCAGCGTTGATTCACTTGTCTTTACATTGGCAGTTTAACACATATCTGGCTGTTGTGGTTCAGAGAAGCTAAAGACGTTGTGTCTAAGAGAAACACTATTTTTGTCCCAACATGCTCTCATCATGTCGACCTGATGACAGGCTAGCTCACATATAAACAACTCTAATTATGAAGAATCTGCTCAAATAAGAAAGTGAATTCATCCGATCACCTGAATAAAAAGTGAAAAGACAGCCATCATTGTTTCTGAAGCCCGAGCTATTGTCTTCAAGTTGAAATATCTTGTGTTGACCTACATACAGCCAAACAACATTATCTGTAAAGAAGCTGGAAAGAGAAGTTAATTGAATAACCTTGTAATGTGTCTGCTCTAGGTATTGCAAGTTAAACAGTTAAGACAAATCATGCTGAGATTTTTGAAGAATAATACATTTGTCTTCCTTACTGGTTTAACAGTAGTAACACTTAACTTTTAGATGGAAAGGCTTGTTAAACTGTGGTGACTCTGGTCCTCTCCGTGCCTTCAGCATTTCTCCTGCGCGTCGTTCAGAAGATTCAACTGTTTTGACAGCAGCGAGTTGAAGGTATCTTAATGATTCTGTCCGACTTACTGAGGCAAAGTCCACTTTAAGATTAGAGCCACCAAAAACATGCATTTCATGCTTTATAATGGTATGAGCAATCCATGCATACTAGACTAACGTCAAAAAGAACCATTCGTAATAATAAGTAGTATTTGGTGTCATGTTCTGTATTAGCAGCGAGTTACAAGGCCCACAAATGAACTTGAATAACCTTCCACATTTAATCTAGTGTTTACTGTTCATCATGTCACATTTGATAGGATATTGTTCGTAGTGACTTAGATTAGTGACAGTGTGAGTGGATTTATTTATTTTAAGTTATGAGTCATTGATAATACCACTGGGGTTCAGTCAGTTCAAAATGATGCAACACCAACTTTGTTGTTCTTTAAAGGAAGGGTTGGTTGGTAACGGAGATGGCGTAGCTGTCCCTTTGATATTGGTTTCTATGCCGTTATGCTCGTGATATTCCCTATACATCTGCATTACACTTCATATTTTGTATCGGAAGTATGTCATAGACAGTAGTTTTATTTGTTGAGGAGTTCATGGTATTTAGTGCACTAGGTTTGTGAAACCTGTAGTTACTGAAAGTATTTGAGTGTTAGCACCACCATCGCTGCTGATGCTATAAGCGTTAGCTCTCCACCTGCTGCTGCTCTACTACAGGTTGGTGTTTGGTTACTTTTCAGCAGGGGTCACCTATCACCTCCTTTTTATTGGTTTGACTTTTTGTTAGAGTCCCCTTTCACCTACTGACTTGCTCTGATGTCAGTAAACACGAGCTAAGAGGAATAGATTTTGTTATGTTCACTCTGGAAACATATTTTTGTCTCCAACATAGCTTCATCGATTATCTTTAAAAACAACATGGTTTTTAACAAACGTTTTTTTTCTCCAGAAACATGATTCTTTATCAAGGTTGTTCTCCTTAATGAAATAAGAAGCTAAAGTATGAAATCCTGGGAAGAACTAGTAACCAGGAATATGATCTCTTTTCTGATAGAATATAGAATAACACTTTTAGAGGCCACCCAAGGTACATGACGGTGTTTTCCTCAAGTGACAATCACACCTTCCTCCACAGCCTCAGCCAAAAACTCTTTCACAACCAAACCCATGACATTATCTAAATATAAAAAATACATTTAAATGTCATCATTGTGACATAACAGTACCACGAATCACAGCTTGTTCTCTGAAATAAACAAAAACATGTCTTGCTGATATTTTGAGTTACTACGAAACAGTATTATGTGTTACTGCTAATGCTATATCCTCAAATTGAACCTTTCTTTACATTTATGCAAAAAGAATGGATGCATAACGAATGGCAAACTATTTATTTTCACTTTAAGTAGGTGCTGCAGCTGTTCTGTTGCATGCAGTGTGCGTACAATTGGGACATACTACGTCTGCATAACATTGCAACGTGAACTTTGAGCCTTTTGCTCATAAATCTGCTGTGCAAAAGGTTGAGGATCAGAAAAGTCAGCTGGCTTGGTCTCTGCAAATGCAAGCAAAACATCCTGGTATTTTAGGCATTCTGCATTTGACATAACGTGACATACTCATTTCTTTCTGGCGTTTTAAATAATATGGTAGTATGGGAAATGAAACACCAATAATGTTGTTAAAGTGGAAATTGCTCAAATTAAGACCGCGTGACACTCATTCTCGTAACGACAAATTCTTGATGAAAAAGTGCTTGTGTTTCAGAAACTAAACAAGAGTGAACTCTATTCGATGTGCGGCTAGGAGGTAGACGATGTGTGGGAAACAATACAATTATTTATGCATCGTTACAATGTTCTCCTGAGGGTAAAATACTTGAAACAGGCTTTACAGAAATGAATGACATCAGTCTTCAATATGTTAGCGAGATAACTTTGTCCCAATGACAATCACTCAAATGTCTGAGCTGCTATTTGAACAAGGGGCATTTTCACTAAACCGGTTTTGTCATTAGGATTCTTGACATCCATTGACTGCACCTTTCCTGCGACGATCATTAACTTGCGCGGTGGAAAAAAACACTAAACACGAAGACGCTTGGCTTTTCCTGAGGAAACGGGCTAACTGTCACCTGGCTGTGATGTCGAGACACATGAAGCACGGACTTAAAAGGCGTCACAGGAATACAACGTGCCGGCCTACATTCTTTCTTGACTTCATTCACTGCAGCCCTGTGGCTAATTATACACATATCTTCTGTCCAACTTTCCTTGACCATTGCATGTATCTCCCAACTAAAAGCCTTAATTAAAAACCTTCCTTGAAATATTAAATTGAAATGAAAATGTCCATTAGCACTCAAAGGCACACACTTATCCTGGCATTCTATTTAAAAAGCACACACACACAATCTGTGTAAAGCCAAAGGTCAGTGTGGCAAGGAGCAGGGCAGGGCGGGGGGGGGGGGATTTATATCTAAATAGGGGAAAGTTCTCCGGCATAACAGATCTATACCTTGCACAGCGCAGTCGGACTTGAATAACCTGACGAGAAGGGATCAAAAATACGTGTTTTTCCACAGATTTTCAACATTTCCTGCGATTATCAACATCCTATTGCTAAACATGTAATCACAGGTTTAACACAGAGGTCTGGTGCACAGGAAGCAAAGGACAAGAGCAACACTTGGACATCAAGTTTGTGTGATAGGACAAGAAAACACACCAGCAACTACTACAACCACTATTTCTTAAAGTGGTGCAATATTACTGCTGTATAAAATGAATACCACATTTCAAACATTTGCCCTCTCATCTACTTCTACTAGATTTCTAAAGCTGGCAAAACAAACAGACAATGTGGCTGCTCCTTTCCCTACTCTGTCTAATACAATACATATAATAATACATTCAAAGGGAACACAGAGAATGAGTACAGAAAGTCTTTTGTTTTTTTTGGTCTTAAAGATTATACAGTTGTGCACGGTTTCAGATTGAATGACGAGTTTCGGCCCCCTCCACCCCAAAACACCTCCACCCTGACTGAAACTAGTTAGCCCGGTTCACGATCCGTATGCAACAGAAAGCGGTGGAACATTGACTCGACCTGTGGCAGACCTGTGTGTTTTTATCTGAGTTATTCTCTTACTACAGAGCCTCTCACTTAAAAGTGAATAAGTCACCACCTCATTAAAACAAAAAACATCCAAGGGTTCAACTTCTTTGTAATTTGAATCTGATTACCATTAGCTAGAATGATCATTTTCCATTAGCACTGCCAATCAAATGTACCCTTCCAGGTCCACCCCACAAACATCACTTTGTATCAGCAGGTCTCAACAATGTGACTGAAATCTATCGCTTGGTTCCAAGAAAAGTGTGTTTTTGCCTTTTTGTGTACTTTATAAGACCTTGGTATCTTGTAGCTCAAGGAATTTTAGTCAAAATCCACACTAAATGTCTCAAACACTGATATAAAAACATTTCATGCTGTGCATTCATCAGATTTCGTGGAAGGCTGGGGCAAAAACAAATGGTGGCCTTGCAAATAAAATGTATTGTATCGGTGACACTGCTGCCAATACTGTGTGAAAAACGCATTTCCAAAAAACACAATTACACTGAACAACAAAATTAGACCCCTTCCAATGCGTCTGTTTTTATTAGAGATGTTCCGATCCGATCACGTGATCGGGGATCGGAGCCGATCACGTGATTTTCAAAAGATCGGAATCGGGAGAAAAAAAATCGGGGATCGGGATTTTTTAAAATTTTTTATATAAATACTTTATTTTTATTTTGTATTCAATGTTACAAAACAAAAATGACCATGTTCAAGTCTTAAAGTCATCCTGAGGCCTTAGTTTTGGTTTCAAATTACACAACATCCTGTATGTGTTGCTTCTTTGGGGCTTGTTTTCATAGACCTATTTCTCTCAAATCTGGTAACAGAGTGGGCAGGGCGCAGTGTCTAATTGTAGCAGTAAGCTAACGAGTACTGACAAGCTTTATTTTGTTTTGATCCAATGCTGCACAACTGAACTGATCCAATGCTGCTGTGAAAAAAAGAAGCTATATCCATGTTGGATAGAATATCCAATTTAAATAAAAAAATAACCTTAAGGGACAACTTGAATGCTTTTTTTCTTTTTTTTCTCTTAATGCATTGCATAAAGATCGGATCGGGAAAAATCGGTATCGGCAAATTGTGAAAATCAAATGATCGGAATCGGATCGGGAGCAAAAAAAGGTGATCGGGACATCCCTAGTTTTTATCAAAGTATTATTTATTTATTTTTTAGGAGCAGCTCTTTGACTTGACAATGTATAATAATAATAATAATAATATGAATAATATTGCCTACTAATACTGCTGAGCTCTGTTTTATTTTAGCATGACCCCACAGCAGAGGTGATGATGCAACACGACTCCTTCAAAGATCTTCTGTCCACTAAATGCTTTTGGTTCAACAAAGATATTAAGGTAAGATACAAGGGCTTATGGAAATACACACAAAAAACATCAACGATACCCTATACATTGGCCAATAATCATGACACAAAAATAAAAACCTATTGCTGTTCTGAGATTGCATCTTCGTGGTTTATTCTACCTATTGTTAATCGCTTCGGATAAAAGTGTCAGCTAAATAAAACTTAATGTAATATGTCCTGAACCTTAAATAGAACAGTATGTCATGCTCATTTCTTCAGTACACAATCTCTATAGTTAATCTTAGAAAATGACCCGTGTGTTTGCACATTTCCTTTCTGTGGCTTTTGCTCTGTACTGAAAAACTAAAAAGGTCCCTAAAATACCCCAAACCTCAGAATGAAAATAGAAGACAAATCGAATCAATGCTAAATATATAGAGTTTAAAAGTGAATGTGAAGGGCTGGTTAAACTGTTAGTTCCATCAAATGCAATTCTGTTTCAGGAGACAGTCAGTGAAGGTTGCTGGAGTGTAACTTCTGGTGGAAACAAGAGGTACTGCAGCCAGGCAGCGTTACCCCAAAGTAACCCCTATCTTACCCCCCCCCCTAAACCCTAGTTAGAAAAAGGACCCTAGAACAAAAGTGAAAAATCACATCCCAGAGGGGAACACATTCCTGGGTCGGACCATACTGGGGAAAAGCTCAGAGGGTTATCCGGGTTTATCAGGACGGCTGGACTCTATCCAAGGATAACTCAGCCAGAAAGCACAGGAGCTATGACCGGACATTTCAAAGTTTACTATTGAGAAGTCCTTTTAATGACGTAATCTGGGCTGATGCTGGGGCGGGTTCTCTCTTTCTCAGGCGACTGAGCACCACAACAAACCACGGCAAATAATCAATTCGTGGTCAGCAGTGTGACTTTTCTTTTTTAACATCATTAATCAAACCATTTGTATGAGATATGAGAAGAATGTTATTTGTGTGTTTGGTAGAGTTTTATCACAATGTTTTCATACCTTAGTACATCTTACAAACGAGATCTTACTCACAGATACAGAATCAGGAGTACATACTGTGTGTGGTGTGTCTTATAAATGATCACCACGTTCTTGTACATTTTTGCACTTGGTGATTGGGTTTTATCTTGTTGTGTTTTCAAAGAATAAACTACTGATAGAAAAACTACTCGTCATCTTTTTCTATTACAGTGGAAGGAAATAGCCAGTGGTATTGTTAATGTTGAATGCATATCCATTGCAAACTGTAATGAGTTCCATGGATCCATCAATCAAGGACAAATGTACAGAAAATGTACTGTTACGATGCTTAACCATCTGAAATGAAATACAGCGCAAACTATCAGAGAGAGGAATTGTGTTATTTACTTATGCCCCCTTCTGTTGACAACAATGTAAAGCTGTTTACTATTCAGGTATAACTGAGGCCTGTACTACGAATCTAGTTCAACATATCCTGGATATGTTTGAGTGAGCCGGTTGATCTAATCCAAAACAAACGCGCTCTCGCTAAAATGTCCTACGACGCAGGTTATCAACTGGTTAACTCAAGCCAGCCGTACCCTATCTAGTTAGGTGCGTGTTCACATAAAAGGGGTGGTATTTAGAGCGATCACAAACATGGACAAGCCGCGTACTGACAGTGCAGCGTCATACTTCCTGAATGAAAAGTCAACTATAATATTAGACAAATATGAAGACGTTAAACTTTAAACAGCCTTTGCAGTTGCACCTGCAAGTTGAATACAGCTGGTAAAAGAAAAAATGTTTGAATACGTTCATTAACAGTTTTATGATATCACTGATATAACTAAGACACGAGTGGATCTGACTTTAATTACATTTGACTCTAGTGTTTCGTCAACTTAATTTGTTGCTTAAAATAATACTTCTGCATACAGTATGTGACACTGTAAGTGTTGCACAGTCACTGTGCAACACTTACAGTGTCACATACTGTATGCAGAAGTATTATTTTAAGCAACAAATTAAGTTGACGAAACACTAGAGTCAAATGTAATTAAAGTCNACTTGTATTGCAACCCATTTTTGCACAATTGTGTACAGTTATAATCTACACAGATTGGTGGAGACACACACACACACACACACACACACACAATAGAAACCTCCATGGGAACCCTTGCCAGCTCTGTCAAAATACAATGGCCGTTTGTCCATGTCAAGTGCAGTTACACACTATAACACACATCCACAAACAATGATAAAGAATGCATTGTGTTCTGAGTCCACACTTCTATTATCCATAAAAGAAGAAGATCAACAATTTGACCCCACTCCTTTGAACTCTGACCTTCAGGTGAGCGGGGGGTCGGACAGACTGCACTTTACCTGGGGGGAATCAACGAGGTTCAAACCCTTTTGTGTTTATGCTCTGGAGCTGAACCTAACCTCTGACCCACTGGGAAGATGGCGAATAAAAAAAATATGAACCACCTGAAACAAACTTCTCCTGTTCACCTGAGCGCTGATTTCCAAAATGAGAAGTCACTAACTACTTCATGTTTCTGTGAAAAAGTGATATTTTCTTTGATTAAAGCTACCGAAGTGGTAAGAGCCCACTTCCCTTTTTTCTTTAATGCTGCCTTTATACATTCTATTACTTAGCTGGTCACCACGGGCACCATTACCATAGCAACAGCGCAAGGGAATGTGGAAATACAGGATGCTCAATTATTATACACAGACAAATACTGCAACAGACAAAGGGTCATTTTGTCTCCAACACACTAACCCCCTGATAGGCTAAGAGGTGGGACATTTTTAAGCAGTTCGCAATCACAACAGAGCCGGCCCGCTAACCAATCACAACAGACTGGGCTCTGGTTCCAGACAGAGGGTGAAAAGAGGTGCTGCAGCACAGGCAGTATGAAAAACATAAATACCTTTTTGAACATTAAAGCATGGAGACATGTCACAGTTGAGGAACAAAATACAAATATGAAACCTGAAAATGAGCAGAATAGGGCCCCTTTAATTCAGAGCAAGAGTGTGGGTTATATGTGAGTTTGTTTTTGTTTTAGGTTGTGATGTGAGTGTGCGAGTTAACAGCAACATTTCCGGCAATCTCATTGTAACAGCCTGACATTTTTTTAAGTAATTCTCATTATGAAGGAATAAGTAACCTGGCTGTTTGATGCAAATTCCCATGCTGGCAGTTCGGATTTAATTGCCAAAATGCTACTGTATGATTAACTGTTGCATCATTGTTACAGTAAATCCTAATAGTAATGTAACTTAAGATGTGAAACCACAAACTAATGGCACTCGTAGCCGTTCTGCACACAGACTGATCCAACCTCTCACTGCTCTGGCTCTTTTATACCAGCCTATAAAAAGAATGAATGCTGCTCTTATACGCTGTAACTCTACACCACCCCCACCCCCACCCACCTAATATTGAACTGACGGGTGGAGATAAATGAAGCAGCTTTGAGTAATGACAGGGTATACAAAATAATGGATTTATGCAAACAAGTCCGTATCAAGTTGAAAACTGTTTTTTATTCAGATGTTTATTGCAAAATAGAATCAAAATCTGGCAATAAATAGCTTTATCAAAGCCATGCAAATAAACGTCATTATTAGTTCTGTTATTAAAGAAATGTGTTTTAATCTCATCACAAACTTTTTTCTGTTACACGTTCTAGTAGAGCGGAGTGAACTCTATAAAAGAGGGGTCTTTGGTGATCATGTACACATTCGCTTTTATGTCACAAGGTTCCAGGCAATATACAAGCTCATTATCTGCAATAAAGCCTCATGAAGTCCCACACTAAGTATACATGAATATGGACTGTATGTTACGTTCACTCTGTGCTAGCATTCCTCAAAACTGAGACTTAATTTATAAATCCCAACGAGAGACCAACACTAAGAGTGAATTCATCTTAACAGTTTGTGTATCCAAATGTGATATAATATATACTCTGAGCCATAGAGCTGCATTAAAAACACATCAATGAGACACATAAATGCACTGGGTGAATGAACACTTTAGATCCCAAATAGACTGTCAAACTGGAGCACCAAATGTGTATTAATGCACATCTGAAAGTGTCCCAACTGAACGCACTATTTATTCCTGTTTGGAAGTTGGAAAGTATTGAGATTGTGGGATTTATTGACAGTAGCAGAAATATAGAATATCTAGTACAACAAAAATGTATGTATGGCACATTAAAGGGGTTTCCTCCTGATGTCTAGAATACACTTTAGATATACTCTGAAATATTAAATCCTCTAAGATACTTGATGTCACCGTGCCATATTGAGGAGGTCAAAGGTCAACTCTGTGATATCAAAGGCGTGATGCTGATGCTTGGGGTCGACGAACACCTCTAGACCTCCAGATGTGCCGCTGGTGTGCTGGCTCTGTTTGAGAGCATCCAGGGTGGAGAAGAGGACTCTGGCCCGCTGCTCCTCTGAGGGGGGGTCCGCCAGGCGGTGGGGGGGCAGCGAGGGCGAGTGGAGCAGGAAATACACTGAGGACATGTAGACTTTGACAAACTCCTGTTTTAAATGGGGCAAGTCTCTCTGCAAACACAAAGAAGGGGACGTTTTAACAGATTATATAACATCAGGGGCGGCCATCAGGCAACAGGGGCCAACAGGTGCCCCTGTAACAGTGACCAGGGACCCCCCCCTCCAAAAAAAAGGTTACAATATTACGATTTATTGGAACTAAATCAAATCAGAGACCCGTATGTACAGTGGAGATTAAACTGTTCATTACCTTATAAAAGCAAATACTGTTTATGTTTTTTTAATTAAATTGTAACTTAAAATTACTGAAATAAATACCTTTACAAAAACAAATACCAATTACTCTATTTTATGTTTATTTTACACAATTACTTTATACTGTCTTTTTAACCCGCTTTTATTGTGCCCCTCTCATGAAATAACTGGCCCCAGCCTGGCCCCCCCAGTAACATTGGTCTAGAACCGCCACTGTATAACATGATGTATAGTGACATAGTGATTATATGCACTGGACGCACAAACACTTTTTAACCTTGGGGGAGAAAAGCCACCTAGTTACTCATACTGTCAGCACCCTCTATTGGTATGTCCTGGTATTACACTCATATACACATACACACTCATACACACTCATACACACTCATATACACACATATAGTGATGGCAAAATGAAGCTTTGAATGAAGCATCGAACCACTTGGACAATTGTGTCGGAAATAGGTTCATTTATCGAAGCTTCAGTTACAGCGACCTCTCCTGGCGAAGTGCAAGGCTGCAGTGGGTTTAACATATCTTTGCCTTTAAAAATATTCGATGCACATACACACACTAAGACTGAATATCATGTTCTATTTGCAATTAAAGATCGATAATTGTGTGTATTGGGTTATTGAGAAGAGACTAGAGAGTGCTGGACATTTTTTTGGGCGGAGAGGGCCTTTTATCAGTTATTAAAGTATTAAAGTTGAAAAGCAATGATTAAAAGTTCATCCATTCCGGGCTTTGAACCAGCTGCGCGGAGAACATCCCCGCAATCGGGGCGCCGGCTCTATCCACTGTGCTATCTATTCCTTAAACTATTTGACTGTTTTTATATAAATCATAATTGTCTTTTTGTTCACAACTTCTCCACATTTTGAAGTGTTTCCCGAGCCAGAACGACCTATCTTTCTTCCTGGCTTGCTCTATAATAATCCAATTAAAATGCAATACCAACAACAACTCAACAGCAACAACGCAAACTACGACAACAACCCACACATTGCGCATTGTTTAGAGCGGTTATAAAGTGTTGAAGCGCTCAAATTCGAAACTGTTTCAACCTGTCAGTGTCACCTGTCAGAATAGAGACGAGGCAGTGCATTGAATCGCGTGATTGGACGGCGAACCAGTGAGTTGATTCGTTCAGGAAATGAAGCAGTTGCTGGTTCGGACGTCACATGTCACGTGATTTGAAGCAGTTGCTGGTTCGGACGTCACATGTCACGTGATTTGAAGCAAGCTTCGAAGCACTGCTTGTATGGAATAGGAAGTCCAGGGTTGAAGCTCCGTTCGAAGCTTCAGTGTCAAACTGCCATCACTACACACATACACACTCATACACACTCATACACACTCATACACACTCATACACACTGACCTTCTTCGCTCTGCTCATGCTGGTCTCAGCCTCCAGCCAAGCACTCTAAAACAAACAAAAAACGATTTTAAATTGTGCACAAGTCCTGAGTGATATTGTTTTGTAAATCCAATCATTTTAAAAGCATTGATGTATTCAGTATTGTCTGGCTGTAAAAAGAAAACTCGCATAAATCATACTCTTACTCTCACTCTCTGACTTTGACAAGGCTGAATATCAGGAGGAAATACAGAATACTTTCAAAAAACACTTTTGCGCTGAAAATGCTCACAAAAAGTAACAAATAACAGAATTATAATGTGGTTATTAGGGGTAAAATAATATAAGATAAGAGGTACTTTATTAATCCCAATTTGGGACACATAATAACAAATCAACAGAGTAGACATAAACAATATAAACATCTCAAAACAGAAATAGAAATAAACCAGCATTTAAGAGTAAGAAAAATATACAGATGACCGGAACGATAGAAACAAATATAAACGTATAAACTAAGTTTGACCTACGAACCCTGAGAGCATCCAGCAGGTCTGGTTGGTCGAACAGCACGGGGAAGGTAGAGAGTATAGGACTGCATATCAGATCTGAAACAAAGAGACAGTTTCTCTAAGAACTATGAATATCTGCAGTTTGGATAACAGGGTCCTGAAGGTGTGTGTTACCTGCGTTCTGCATGGTAGACCTGTCCATCAGGAGAGTGTCTGCCAGCAGCTGCCTGTGCAGAGCCAGCAAGTGCACGCAGCTCAGAGAGTGCAGAAGAGTGTCTGGAAGGATACTGAAGAGAAACAACACACTATTTAAATATAAAGTATATATGCTATCTTGGCTGAAGGGAGTGTCTCCAAAAATCTGTGGTAAGTGTCTTTTTTGCTGACCCTCCCACCTGAGCTGTGTTCTGGTTCGGCTGTTGGCTGATTTCAACTTTATGATGAGTTTGGGCTGCCGTCGTGCCTGAAGCATCTGCTGGAAAACACTAGCTGGAGCTGAGAGGAGAGGAAAGCAGGGGAGACGACCAATTAGAATTGTTTTTGTTGTTGAACTTTGTCACACATCTGATTGCTCCGCTTACATCCTTTGGTGGCTGCAATCTCCATCGGGACCTCCGCCTCAAATGGAGAGCCACTATTCAGAGTCAGCTCATAGGTCCTGCACACAGATCAGATTAGGTTGGATGAGATTTTAAAGTATTAAGTACACATCACTCACGCAGTATGTAAGTGTCTATGGCATTTTTCATTCAAATAATACTGTGGGCACTGAGTGTACCTGTTGGGGAGTGGATTTCCACTGTCGTCGGTCAGTTTTAAATAAGCCCAGCCGCAGCTCAGGTCCCCTCTGTCACCTGTGGACTAAAACACACACACAGAAAATAAGAGATATGATCACTCTCGGCATTATGGTGTTGATCAACTTTGGAAAGAGGAAAACTGCTTGTCTTTAATGACAAATAAAAAAACATCTGAATAGTAGTTTTCCATTTCCTTTGTGATTTCATGGGTCTGATCAGCTTTATCTCATCACTATCACATGTGTATCTGTTGGTGTGTGTTTGTCCTCACATTGCGTATAAAGGTGACTCCCAGTTCAAAGAGGATTCCGAGGTTAGGATGTGCCGAGTTGCAGCGTAGAAAACAGTCCCCATCGAGGAGGGAAGGTAGGATACCAGTCATCTACAGCAAACAGATTTAAATTCAGCCTTATGCACACGATTACGTTTAAAGCCAAAGTTCCGTTTTTGAGCATTTCATGTTTATGTTCAAGAGGTGGTTTGAGTAAAGTTCCCAAAAACAGTGTGTATTTAATTTGTATAATGCCATTAACATACCCTTGGAGAGAAGCTCCAGGTCTTGGGGCTCTTGGAGTTGTACGTTGCCCTCACAGTGTGGATGTTACTCAACACCTGAAACACAAGCACAGCTCATATGAAAAGTCTATGACAAACCAAGAAAGTGAAAAGTAAGAAAATCTATTTTTGTATTTTTATGATTCTACTCCTGTATTTCCTTACTGCAGAGACTTTAGTAGCATAAGGAAGTAAAGCAATGCAAAATGCTGGCTATACAACAGAAATAACCCACTTGAGTTTTATCAAAGGCACAGAGGCGGATGTGTCTGCTGAGGACTTGAACTCCGACCCCAGGAGTTGGAATCATCCTGCAGCTCCACAGACTGAAACAAAGGCAAGTCTGGACCTGCCGGGCACGAACCTACGAGACACAACGGGACGCTGATCAGGAACCAGAAATATGAAGTGTTTATGTGAATGCTCTGGAGTGTGTCACAGGAGGACTGTCTCACCCTGCCAGTGTCTGGATCCAGGAAGAGGTCACTAAAGGAGAGCTGTGATTGGCTGAGCTCCGGCTGGACGTAGTGACTTCCTCTGTATGTTTGACCTGAGAAAAGACACAAAGAGTTAGTGCTTTGCGTGGTGTAATGTACAGTATTTAGTTAAGAGTACTGGTTCTGATACTGACTGGCACCATTGGTACATACTGTAGTGGTTGTGGTAGACAAAACAATATATAGGCATACCTTGCTTCGTGTGAATGTGTGTGTTTTGTGTGCTTGTTAGAGAGTGTATACTGACCTTCCTCTTCCAGCAGTTTAGTGAGATGTGATGTTCCGAATCCGGCAGGTATAGCCCCCAATGCTGAGAGCACATCTGTTGCATCGAGCTGTCACATACACACAGTGAAAACTATAAATATATCGGATAAGCAGTTCGCGTATTGTGGATTTATTTTTGTCGATAGGAAAATTAACAGTATGATCACTACAAGAAGCAGGAGTTTGCGGATATTTACCCCACTCAAAGCCTTTTTGACAGTACTCCAGTTGGAATGTGGAGAACTGTTGAAAAAGAGCAGAATTTGAATCAATAATGAATGAGTGTAAGTATTGCAGAGAGGTCTCTAATTCCACTACAGCAGCTAAAACCATAAACAGGCTTCTTTAAAACACAGCCCTGCAGCCGTATATCTACAAAAAGGATGGTTAAAATGTAGAACCTCTGTTTCTCTTGGTCACCAGCCAGCTCTTCACCATCTTCCTCCTCCTCAGATTCCTCTTCATCATTTTCATCATCATCATCTTCGTCCTTTTCATCATCATCATCGTCATTAACACCAGAACCAATCTGAAAGATATGGGGTTTTAACTGCTAGAGACCTAAAGTTTAATATTTTAAATGAACAGTGCAAGGATGTTTAATGTGATGCGGGTGTGTAGCAGGTTGTGTACCTTCAGGTAGGTTTTTGGAACCAGCCCTGTGTTGCCTTTAGTGTCCTGAGCCAGCCACCATCCATCTGCTGTCTTCCTGATGATCTTCAATATCTCCCCCCTCTGAACGAAGCAGATAAACACACAAGTCATATAACGTCAAATACTCATTCATCAAGTGTTTAGTTGACATGATAGTCAGTTATACTTGATTTTCTTCACTTACACATCAGGGCAATCAACAGATCAGCCTACTACCATCTAAAAAATATGTTGCGTATTAAAGACCTTATGTCCAAGCAAGATCTTGAAAAATGTGTCCATGCATTTGTCTTTAGCAAGCTTGACTACTGCAACAGCATCTTCAAAGGCCTCACAAAAAAAATCTCTCCGTAAACTCCAACTAGTTCAAAATGCTGCTGCCAGAATCTTAACCCGGACAAAGAAAACAGATCACATCACTCCGGTGCTGAGATCGCTGCATTGGCTTCCAGTAAGTGAGATAATTGACTTTAAGATTTTATTGCACACATATAAAGCACTAAACGGGCTAGGACCCAAATATATCAAGGACCTCCTTCAGCGGTACGAACCCAGCAGACCCCTTAGGTCTTCAGGCGCAGGCCAGCTCACTGTTCCATCTGTGAGATCAAAGCGTGGGAAAGCAGCCTTCTGCATCTATGCTCCTAATGCATGGAACAAACTCCCAGAACATCTGAGAATGGCTAGTACTTTAGAATAATTTAAATCAGGTCTAAAAACTTTTCTTTTTAACATGGCATTTAAAATTTAAATGTCCTAATTTTCGAACTGTTAAACATGGTTTTCTTTCTTTTAATTATTTTGTGTGTTTTTGTATTTCTTCTCACTTTGACCATCGTAAAAATGTATTGTGTTTTCTCTGTTTGATCCTGTAAAGCACTTTGAATTGCATCACTGTATGAATTGTGCTATACAAATAAATTGCCTTGCCTTGCCTTATGATTTTGGGGCATGAGCCCCCTCTTCTGGTAACAAGGTGTAATAAAATGCAATTTTTAAGATGCTAGAACAAAATAGGAAAAACTAAAGCAAACTTCTCACAGTTTACTTTGTAAGCACTGTATTTAAGGACAGGTCATTACACCTTTCTTTGTCTGATTATCTTTGTCAGTCTTTTCAGTGAAGAAGCTTTAGAAATATGTTTTAGACATCATGATAATAAGACATGTTGGCAGTAGCAGGGATCCAAGTAAAGACCTCTGCTCCTAAACCTGTTGATGTCATTAAGTTCAGTATTCTGTATGAATCAGTAAGTACTTCACCTGCACAGACAGATCCCCCTCCTGTTCTCCTTTGAAGTCACTGAGGGCTGTGTACATTTGAGAGGGAGTTTTCACAGCTTGATTCTCAACTTCATCATCATCATCAGTATCCTCGTCGCTACTGTCTTCATCATCATCTTCGTCCTTATCATCATCATCGCTATCTTCCTTTGAGGCATCCCTGTGGATCAAAACGTAAGTAACATAAAAAAAAGGGATTTAAATCAAATGTCCTTTTTAGCTAAAAATCACTGAGCTTTAGAGTTCAAATGTACCTGATGTGACTTATTTGACTTATTTGTATCAATACTTTGAAATAGATGTTTCTCTAAAACTCTTTGACAAATAAAACATGTAGCCACTGCAGCAAATGATATGATACACTGTGTATAGTTGGATAACAAAGAGAAATCAAGCAATATTGAATACTATGGTATTTATTTTTGTCTTTGCAGTGACTGACCCTGCAGCAGTACTGGGTCCTGCGGGCGAGAGCTCCAGAGACAGTGTGGTTACACGCTCCAAGATGTCCTGCAGCCGCCTCTCCTCTTCCTGTTTCCTCTGATCATAGTTCCCCACTGGAGCGAGCTCATCCGCCTAGAAAATCAGGCAACAAATTACAAGCTAGAAATCGTTTTTGTCGACTCATTTACTGAAAAGAGCACGCTATAGAGCTCAGACTAATTCACAATTTAGTAACAGTAGTACAGCACCAACCTTGGTCAGTTTCATCAGTGTTCTTTGTGTCTTCTCTGCTGACATTTGCAGTTCTTGACATCTGTTTGAATTGGACAATTAGACACTATTATTAGAATCAAAAGTAGGAGCAGAAGCAGAGTAAATCCATGTGCTTTAAATAGTTGTCTTAATAGTCTGGATGTGGATCATATACTGGGGTTAGAAAGAATCAAACTAGGAAGCACTGAGGTGTTTACCTCCTAAATGCTTCTTCAGTGTATCCATTCCCACTCTCCACGTCCTTCACAAGACTGTCAACCTAGATTATAAAAGAAAAAGAAAAGTAATTGAAAGTGAATACAGGGGTGTTGGCAACAATGTGAGGTCCAGGTTTAAAAAGTATCTGCATCAGCACACTTCTGTTAACCACATAGCTCAGAACTGTTCTATATTCTGGATGTTTTTGTTGGCAACAAAACAACAGAACAGCCTTTGAATGTGTGAACAAGTCCAAACTCAACCAAGCTCCTCCTAGCTTCTTAATCTGGTTTATTCATGTTTCCTTAATCCTTGGCTGAGCATGTTATTGTGCATATATCTGGGCACTTTTTTTAGTGCATTGTAGAGAATTCGGCATTCACTTCATGAACCAAAAAGCATGTACTATAAGACAAATGTAAACCTTTACCTTTGTTTACATTGCTAGCTCTACGACCAAACGAGGTTCATCTTCAGTACTGGAAAGGTATGATGGCACAAAGCACATCGGTAAGTAGAATGTAGAGCCCAAGCCTTACAGGATAACTCTATTTGCAAATCGGTTGGTTTAGTGATAATGTTAATACTAAAACAGGCTCTCTCTTCAGTACGTTAATAAACTGTAAATGTGGCATCCAACTCCAAACTGTTGTGCACTTCAAACTTCAACTCGAAAAACACACAAACAATCGCCCTTCAGTAACCAACCTGTTTTTTTATTTCGTCCACTTCTCTCTGGACGAGCTGCAAAGGTCCTTTTCTTTTCGGTGGCATTTGTACGGAGTTTTATGGAGCATATTTCATGTGTTAGCACATTACCTAGTTAGCTAGCAGATGCTACTCTTCCACTGGTCGCTAGGCAACATGTTTTCTCTTCAGGCTTGGGCTGGAATAGATTTATCGTTTTTTATTCATTATGTTTTGTATATTCTTTATTTTTTGTTTGTATAATTATATATTTAAAAAAACAGGTTTTATGTATGTGTTTTAATATATAAATAATTATGTTATAATTTTAAATAAATCTTGAAAAAATCTGACGTACTTCCTTCCGAATATGTCATTTTTGTCAGGGCGTTACTGCAACCTACTGGACTGGAGGATTGAGTTGCTTAAATTGGTGTTTAATTAAATGACAAACACTATATATATATATATATTCAATGTATGTATGTACTGTACTGTATATTGAATAAAAGGGGATGTAGTTCCACATCTGGTCAGTGCACAGCGCAATGTTATGCACAGTCAGACACATGCATTGCAGAGTTGTGTAAGTGTCTTCCTTATGACCTACAGAGGGCGTACTTTGACTGTTGTGAAACATGCTGCATTCAGCGTCCCCTCGTTAGCTTCCTATTTGAATTTCTTAGAGTTTCTTAAAGTGGAAATTATGATTTCATAGCACATTATCAGTGCTTCTCTAAATAACTATTATACAAGTTGTTAACGTGTGTTTCCACAAGACATTTGTTAGTATATGTCCTTGCTTTTATTCCTGAAGATATAAAATCACGACGTTTTGGGTGTACGTGAAGGCAGCATTAGGCTCCAACTGCTCTCCATTGCCTCCAGTGTTTGTCACTTACCTGTCATGGCTTCACGTGTGGCTCTCATTCAAGGCGCAAGCAGAGGACTGGGGCTTGAATTTTGCAAACATATCTTAAAAAACAAAAACCCTGCAGCCGTTATAGCGACATGCAGGAACCCGGACGGAGCGACCGAGCTGCGGGCACTGGCAGACCAACACCCGGGCCAAGTGACGGTCCTCAGGCTGGACGTGGGCCGGGAGGAGGACATCCGTGGAGCTGCTGACCGGGTTAAGGAGAGCTTCGGTCGGCTGGATCTGATCGTCAACTCTGCGGCCATGCTTCACCCCTCTGGAAAAGGAGAGACCAGTCTGAGAGAGGTCACTGCCCAGGTAAACAATGAACATATGGGAGTATGGGCTGCTCTCCCTCCCCCATCATACAAAGTGAAATAAAAGTGAGGTTCTGGCTCACGGGATGCATACTAAAAGTGCTTTCAATAACATTTATTATTTTAGATGATCTACTACTCATAACCCGTTCCAAACCTCGTTAACTAATCTCGTAATTTAAGGGAGCCTACCTGTTAGTAGATATATAACAACTCGGGGAAACACAATTATCTTGGGAGAATAGTTAGTATGTCAAATCGGCTTAAATGCAATGTAAACAGCAGGCCATTTAAACTTTTCTGTTAATTTTACCTGCTTTGTATTGTTAATTGACTTTAAAATACACCACAGAAGAGGACAGAAGGAGGCAGTGGCAATGAATGCTGAAAAAATGGATTAGGATTAGATTACAGGTGTTGATGCTTGAGAAGGTTTGAAAGTCATCATACTTTCGCCAACGTTTTTGTTCCAATAGATGTGTTTACTGAGTGGGTTTGATCCCTCTGTTTTAAAAAGTAATTTTTCTATTCCGGTTCTTACACTAAATGTATTCTTACCATCCCATAACCTGTGCCCCGGCTGTGTATATCCAGTGAACCACAGTTACCCATTCACATCCATTCATGCACCATTGATCTGTTTTGATTGACTTTTTTCTCCTTTCAGGGCATCATTGCCACCCTGACGACCAACACAGTGGGTCCCCTGGTCATGGCCAAGTATTTTGCCCCCCTCCTTCAGAAGGGTGGAGGTAGTTTCGGTCAACAGCCTTCTGAGAAAGCCAAGCAGCACAGCGGCATCATCGTCAACATTACCGCCAAAGTGGGATCGATTGGCGACAACGGTGGGTATTGTGCTACTGCTGTGATACTCTGTTGTGTTCATGTTAATGTCGTAAAGTATGATTAATTTATGCTACTCAAATATGTTTTCCCTTCTCCATCCTCAACCCCTTTCCTCCTCTCAGGTCTTGGTGGTTGGTACAGCTACAGAATGTCCAAAGCAGCTCTTAACATGGCGACCAGGAATCTGTCTATAGAGCTGGGACGCAGTCGACCAAAGGTACAGGTTTGAGTGTTGACTGAAAATGTTATATTTTTGTATTTCTGATTTATTAAAACCAAATATCAGTGTCTCTCTTTGAAAACTAGCTGCGAGAACATTGGAAAATGTTGGAAAAGGGGATGCATGATGCCCTTACACATGCATATAGCCTATATATTTCATAGAGTACATTTTTCTTCATATTTATTTTATCAAGAAGTAGGCCTGATATTAAGATCTTGTATTCCAAGAAAGGTGAAAGTACAATACATTTTCACAAGAACACAACAGCAAAAAAGAAACCAAACTATACAACAACAAGGAATATAAACAGTTTCAAGAATCATGTACCAATATCAGATAATACATCTTTTAAGGTTTCATAGCACTTGAAACCAGTTCTGAATTTAGATGTATTGTTTACTGGGTCTTGTTCTGTAATCACTATAATGAAATGTATATGTGAGGAAGTTTGGAAGCTTCAATAATCTAACATGAGATAAATTGTGTCTGTTTTTTTCCAGGTGGTGTGTGTGTGCTTACATCCAGGAACAGTCAACACAGACCTCTCCCGGCCATATCACAGGAATGTACCAAAAGAGAAGTTGTTTAGCACCGAACAATCTGTAAGCGCTCTGATGAACATCATAGAGACACTGAGTATTGAGAAGACTGGAAAGGCGTACAACTGGGACGGGACTGAACTTCCTTGGTAGAAACAGTAGATGGACAAAGAGAGATTAATTGTTTTACCTCTCTTCTTGGTGCTAAATCTCTGTGCTTTCAAGACTGTGCAACAAGCTGAACTTATAAGGACATTCCTAGTGGAATGAAAGACAACCTCTTTTAACTTCCTCAGAACCAGACAAAGTGCTTAAATCATCTTTAATATTATCCTGTTCATGATGTGGATTTGAAACAATATGTATTAATGATGTAATGTAGCACAGCAAGTTTCTCCCTGTTTCAAGTCTTTGATTTATGCTAAGCTAACCACCGCTTACTTGTAACTTGAGATACTGATCCTCTCATCTTACATGCTGCCAGAAAGCAAATAAAAGCATATTCTGAAAAAGGTTGAATTATTTCTCAAGTGTAACATCTAAGGAGTTCCACATATTCTTTGTTGTGTTGCTTGCAATATTTTTGAATACAATCTGATTTTTCTCGTCACATTAGACAGCTGAATTATGTGTCACATGATCAAATCTTCAGTGTTTGGTTTGAGTAAAAGACATAAGCAATTACCCACAATCATTGCCCAAGTAGCAACTGTGTGGGACACAGAGGGAACAGCTATGCGATCAATGTGTGTGATTCTTTTAGTGGGTTTTAAATGATTTCCATTTGATTTTCCTCTAATTCTAAAATAGCATTTGTGTCCTTTGATATCAAATGTGGGATTGCATTTAGCCTTGCAGGCCTTTTATTAAGTGAGTCAAATCACAACAATGAAGAAAAACAACGTATTTTTTCATTAACTATATGTCTTTGGATAACTTAGGAAAAAAGAAAGCCCATATCACTGGAATTTGTCCTTTTTTAAATAAAGAAGAGTTATTTTTCAGTCATGAAAACAGGTAATATAACATGTTTCCTGTAGATACGTGCTTTCTGGAGCATACAAACATTGCATCCTTATGTGCAAAAGAAGAGGAGAGATTTTAGTGACAATAAAAGGTTGACCAGATTCATACCAACATTAGCCTACCAGATTAATTGATTTTAGTATTATGATAGGCATATGGTGCAAAAATTATTATAAAAGTAGCCTATTTATTAAACTATTACAAAGAAGAATAACATTTATTTAAATTACTCAGTAATCAGAAAAGTATCTTACAACACAGACAATTACTTGTAACCAGAAGATGGCAGCATTGCAAGAGTCCATTGCTATTCACAATGTGCATTCATGCCTTTTAGTGTCAGATTCTGACATTATAGGAATTCAGTCTTCATTACAGAATATTTTCCAGTAATTGATAATGTTTGCTGAAGTGGAAACAGTAATGCATACAATGATAGTTAATTAGTGATTGAGATTAGGTCTCGTCAATGGTCCTAGTTTATTTATCAAGCTGAAATTGTTGTTGTTTGATCTTTGTATCTTCACTGTGCTTCATCCAATGCTCTGTTGATATCAGGTATCTCCTAAATAATTATATCAAGTGTGTCCTTTTAATAAAATCTTATTCTCGGTGGGACTTAAAAAAAGTATTTGTATTTGCTATGTATGTAATTAAATCAAATTATATTTTATTTTTAATTTAATTGTGGTCAAGATGCCATATTATAGCCTACGGAAACCAGAAAGCTACAACAATTTAAAATGATTTGCAGGATGACGATCCTGCAGAGCAGAAAGACAAATAAAGACATAGACGAGGTTACAAAAGTTCATTTTGGTGACCTCATTTTGACAGGCAGCTTTGTGAGCAAATAATAAAGCTGATGGGAGTGAACAGCAAGCACCGACTTTAATAAATAAAGAGACCACAGCTGCACGAATCTGTACTGTGTAGGCTATCTTATACTTTGTTTAATAAATCCAGCAGGGATGCGACCGAACTTCACTGCTGTTATGTTGTGTAGACAATGTTGTAGACATTTATAGACGAGTGCTCTCTTGCATATCTTTGTGTTTAAAGATACAATTACGGTGTAATGTAACGGTGTTTTGCAGAGACAAGAGAAAACCGGTCGGAGGAGGTAAACGGGTTCTCTGCTGGCTTGAGGAGCTGGTGTGACGTCACTCACTCACACAATATACCGGCTACTGCTGCGCCTACCAGCGGATCTGAATGTGGGGAAATGACCGAGAGTGACCTCAGAGGAAACACTGTATTTTAGCGTCCGTTCGCCTTATCATTTTATACTTCATTCAGAGCAGTAATGAACGTCACATTTTTGCGTTATATCACTGTGTGAAATACGTTGCATTAGTGGAAGAATTCGTTAGCTGCCGTGTCACTAACTTGAAGACAGCGGGGGCTAACACAGGCTAAGCTAAGCTACGGTAGCCGGGATTGTCAACGCTAGCGGCGGGTCTTGTACATTTGTTTTCCTCCCTGCAGATGCTAGGCTAGGCTAGCTGCTGCCATGGATAAAGCCAAGTCAATGATGGACAAGAAAGGCGCGTCGGGGCCCTTTCATGTCACCAACGGACAGGCATTTCACGCTAACGGTAGCTGCTGCAGTGGCTCCACATTCAGCTCCAGCTCCAGCTCTGGACCCAACAGCAGCTCCAGCCCCAGCCAGCAGCAGCAGCAGCAGCAGCAGCAGCTTTGAGGCCAGCATGCACCACCTGCACCGCGGGGAAGATGCGGAGTGCAACGGGTCCCCGGCGAAGAGATGCAGGCTACGGAAAAGGACAGAGTCGATGAGACGTAGCAGACCCCGTAAGTGTCAAACAGTTTGGGGACATTTGACAATTATTATTTTTGCATGTTCTGAAATTTTTTCTGGTGGTGGAAGGAAGCGGTGGTGTGTCTTATTTCGTTGTGTATATGCTGCAACCATGGACTGTGTAACACTTTACTTCAGCAGGGATTTGCACAACTATTCCCTTTTACAACAAGAGAGCAACAACCTTTGATTCTTCTTTTACTCCCCTTTTTATTTCATTGTTCTTTGTGTTTTGAGATGACCATATTGTCCTCTCATGACTCCCTTTTTTCCATCATGTTATATGGTTAGGAGATTGATTTGTCCAATCTACAAGCCTGCTGTCGTCAGGGAGACCCCCTTTTGTTATTATGAACCTTCAGTTTGCATTTCTTACGCTGTGATTGGTTGGTCGCCCGCTGGTGAAAAAGCTCCTGATAAGTGGGACTGGCTTGCTTCAGCCAATCGGCACTTGCCTCTTGTCTTCAGGAGGCAGAAGGACCCCACCCCCTTATTTACTGAGTATTCCGGATGATGTGAGTAAAGATCATCCGGGAAAACTTGGCAGTTTCTGCGCAGAATGTAGAAAAGTGTAATTTCTTAAGGGTGTGACGCCTCTTTAAATACCCAATACCGACTTACACCTTCTAAGCTTTTAAGCGACACTTTGCTTTATTTCGTTTTTGATTTGTTTTTTTGTATACACCTGTGAGCCGATATTTTGCCTCACTATGAAGCTTATAAGTGAAAAGAAACCTGGTAAGTGTGAGTTGGTTTTTATTCAATTGTATCGAGAACAGTGGTGGAGAAAGTATTCACATGTTTTGGTTAAGTTAAAGTAGAAATACCACAGTGCACACATCTTCTGTTAAAAGTGAAATTCCTGCCTTGTCATGTTACTTGTTATGTAAAAACTACAAAACGATTAGCATCAAAATATACTTAAACTACATGTTGTACAATTAATCATTAACAGAATGGTATACTTCACAGTAATTGACTGAATATGATTTTACTGAATGATCATTACTGATGCATTTATGTGAACATTGATTTAATATTTATATCTGGTAAGGGTTTTGCTAATTTAATCACATTTATTGCTCATCATTAAAAAAAATGTAATTTGTTGTATTGATCTCAGTTTGCAAAGTAACAAGGAACCAAAGTCAACAGTAAATGTAGACGATTAAAGTACACTATTTGCCTTTATAATTGTAGTGTCGTAAAAGTAAACAGAAGCATAGAATACTTAAGTGAAGTGCAAATACCTTTTTTAAAAGTGTATGCTAGTAGGCTACATTAATTACTAAATATATAGTGTTATTGATGTTCCACAACTGATTGAAAGTCTAGGTATTAAAACGGAGAAATAATTAAAATGTCTCTTCTTTTATTGTCTTTAATGTCTTAAGTTCTTTTGCAGGCAGCTGATTAGTGTTTATGGCTGGGAATGTCAGTGTTCCTCATGGCCTGTTTTTCATGGCTGTTCGGTCAAAGTCCTAGGGTTTGTTGTGGCTGTCATGGTAAAACTCATGTTGTTAAAATGTCTGCAGAGAAACCAGCTGCAAGTCTAGTGGCCTTGTTGCTAAGTAATCCCATCAGCATTCCTAAATAAATCTATCCGTAATTGTTCTAGGGAGAGACTGAGAAAGAGAGGGCAGAGAGGAGACATCCTTTTCAGTTTCTGCTTTCAAGGAAATTTACGTAACTGCCATGGTCTCCTGTGAGAAGCCTGCATAATGCAGTATTAATCCGAATCTGAGCTTGCCAATAGTTAACTAAGATGTTATAGTGTCATCCTAAACGATCATGTTTTTGCAAAATTTTATATATAGTAACATCGATATTGTGATAATGTTGTGGTATTTGCTGCATACATCAATAACTGCATGTCACCTACACATACTCAGAAGCATTATTCATTTATTATGTTGCTCCAACTAAAAGGTTGAATGACTATATATTGCATTTCTACTGATCCTCCTCTTTAGATTGAATCCTTTCTAATTTTGTTAAGTGTATGTTTACCGACAGCACTTAATCTTAGTCTGACCAGAGGCCTGTACTACGAAGCCGGTTTTTGCTTAGCGAGCTAACTTCAGGGAAAACTCTGGGTTTCCGGTCCTACGACGCTGGTTCACTTCTCAGCGGGCTAGATCTCCACGGTAACTTATGCTGATTGGCTAACCTGCTCCGGAGCAGGTTAGGTTCCAGGATAAGAGATCAACTCAGTGAAAGCACCGCCTGCTGACCAATCAGAGCTCAGTGTGCGGAGTTTAAAGCTATCAAGTCATATTACAGGATAAAGGAAATGCCGTTGCAGGAAAGACGGCCGGCAAAAATCACCGATTGTGAACGTGAAAATGAATAGAATATCACCTCCCATCTTCAGAGCAATCTGACTAATATAACATTAGCGTTAAGAAAGCTTACTTAAATATCTGCCACAACATAAGTAACCGGATCAAAGCAACATTACGTACAGTCCGCGGCACTGTGAGTGCAGACTTCGATGTGTCCCATTATCATTCATATCACATGATATCACATCATAATGTATCATATATGTGACCCGCTCTATCGAAATCAGTCGGAAGTCGCAACGGCTCATTTCAAAATAAACGTGGATTTGCATA